TAATCCTCTTAGATAGATTCGTTCAACAGACTCTTTCCAGTATAAAGCTTTAATGAGTTTCCTATGCCCATACGTGACCTGACCATTATATGGACTCCGGCGGCCAATGTTTGGAAGAGGGACTTGCAACGCCTACTAGGACTCATTACGATTGTAATCCTCTTAGATAGATTCGTGCAACAGACTCTTTCCAGAAACTCATTTTTGTCAATGCCATTATCGTGACTTATAGTTTGGTTGCTATATATTTCTTAGTAACTAAACTATCTAATTTTTTTTATAATTAGATATTCAAGCACAAAGATTGAAGCCTGAAGTCATATTGGTTGTCTAGAAAAAGTGTGTATGCAATTGACATCAGAAGATTGTGACAAAATTCTTGGCAAATATAAGAAATATCTGAATTCAATAATCTCGTCCATCTCAATATTTAGAAGAGCAAAAAACAAGGCCTTTAAGCTGAATAAAAATATGGATCGTTCATTTTAACGCGTAGAAGTCATTTCATTTTTCAAAAGACTTGATATACAGGTATATTAATTAATCGTCGTTAAATTTGTGTATATACTAATATAGATGAATATATGTAGATCAACTTATTTAACACGAATGTGACCCAAGGTCTTGCAAATGGCCATGAATGCAAAAGATGAATTGAGACTAAAGGCACGAATATATGACACAGACGTATGATTCTCCCAATAACCCATTAGTGAAACTTTTCATATAAAAAAAAATATTTAAATTTATTTTTTCCATAGATATTTCGCAATTTAAGAATTTTAAAATTATTTTTAATATCTATCTATACATATGATCTTAAATTTGATTGGTTCATATATTATATACAGTGGTATGTTGCAGAAAATAATAAAAATTGAAATTTCTGTACTATATGAAAGCTACCATTTTTTCTAATAAATGATTTTTTATTTCGCACCAACATATCTTGAAAAATCATAAATAAAGATTGTTATTATAAAAATTATAAACTTTTATGACACGAAAATTTCAATTTTTACTATATTTTATTATAAAAAAATAGATAGGCGTCCTAATTTTCTGTCACATTCATGAAATTAACCAATGAAATTGATAAGCAAATTCATGTGATTATTATCACGTTAAAAATAATTGATACGCGAATGCGCGACTCCCTCGTTACGTTTAAAAATAGTCTAAACCGTGCTTCTATCTCTACTTTCCGATGGCATCACAAAGAATACCTACGCATGTAAGTGACCTGGCCTAATAGAAATTTATTTAGATTCGTTGCAACAGCCTCTTTAATATATTGGGCTTTAAATGAATATCCTATGTTTGCATGCGACCCGAGATTCTGGCGGCCATTATTTTTGTCAATATAATTACTGTGATTTCTTATGATTAATGCATATTTAGTAAGTAAGTAATTAATTTTTTTTTATAGTTAGTTATTTCGAATGGAATTTCTACCTATTTCGCAAACACAAATTTCGAAGCCTGGAGTCACATGGGTTGTCTCGAATACTTGGCAAAAATGCATATTCATTTGAAATCAAAAGATCGTAACACAATTCTTCGCAAATATAAGGATCATTTGCTTTCAATATCTTTGTGTTCAGCAACACTCAAAAGAGCAAAGTACAAAGCCCTTAGACTAAATGAAAGTGCGGATCATTCATTTCGACTTCGAGAAACTACCTTATTTCTTAGTAAATTTGATAAACAGGTATGTTAATTATCAATTTATATGGCAAATGTGATTAAAGTCTTGCAATTACCATTGAAAATCTTACAAACAAATATAATATTGGAAAAGTCAAATGTGTCTGATCTGAAAGGTAAATATCCATTTAAACGCTTTAGACAAGAAACGATTACTATAGAAGACAAAAGACAAGTATAGTATTTTTTATTATTTTTAATAAAATGTTTTTAATTAATAATAAGCACTTGAACTCTTATCTATCTAGCTTGAAGCAAATACATTACTCAAAGCAAATGATGATTATATCGATGGTATGTTAATCAATACAAATATTATAGTATTGCATTTTTTTTATAAATATTATATATCAATTAAAAGGACGAAATGATTGTGCTGAAAAAAACGATATAGAAGAAGTTGAAGACTTAAACTCATCCAATTATGCATCATCTTCCCTTATGAGTATCGTTTCTGAGTATCATTTTCAACAGGAATCAAATGATTCATTATCTTTATTACCTGTTTTGAAAAATTACTGTGCAAATGAATCTACTTCACCTTATGAGTAAGTTATAATATAATTAATAATATTTTTTGAATATTGCTTATTTATTTATTTTTTTTAGCCTGGCCCGTAGCTTTATCATGGATATGTCACCATCCTCAA